GATGACGCTTTTCCACTATCTCTCGTCTTCGCCGGATGCGCAACACCCCCGGCATTGTTATCACCTCCTACCATCCTTGCAGATTCTTCTCGCCATCCTCTCAGGACTGCGCTACCTGTGGTCGCGACGACTCATCCATCGGGACATCAAACCGCGGAATATCTTCCTCTCGGCCCCAGAGTCGGAGCCACTGAGCGGATACTGCGATGCTAGCTGTCAACACGCCTGCCAGGGACAACAGCCCCGATGGCTCAACCCTCGCATTGGTGACTTTGGACTCGTGACGCAGCTCGCCCACGGTAAACTTCCGGAGGAAAGGAGGGCTGGCAAGCAGGTGGGAACGCCGTTCTATCGGCCTCCTGCTTGCGCGTGGGATGGGTCCTTGAACCAGAGCATCCAGCCAGAGCAACTGTCTGATAATGAAAAGGTGGATGTTTTTGCGTTGGGGGTGGTCTTTGTAGAGCTGATGTGCCCATTCTCGACGGCTATGGAGCGGGCAGATGTGCTTGGTGGTCTGCAAAAGGGCGTTCTTCCTGAGTGCCTCCGTGCGCGACTTGAGAAGGAGGGATTTGAGGATGCATTGGTGAGTCAAGTCTTGGAATTGTGCGGAGGGATGATTGACCCTGATCCGGTGTCACGGTGGGACGGCGGGCGGATTACAGAGACGGCGGAGAGGATCAAAGCGAAGATTGGGGTCACCGGTGAGGGTGGAGATGTTTGATGAAATTAAGTGGTGAGTTATTTGTAAAAATACAAAAAATTGACATGCAGCTGTCAAAACCCAAACTCAACTACCTACCTACCTTCGATGATACGGCCCAATCAGCTGGGCCTAATCCAGAGCACCATCGTCTTTTCAGATAATTGTTAGGTGCTGCGAAACGGCGAGGGTGCCCTCCATCATAATCACAAGTTTTTAGGACGACACAAACTGTTTCAAAGGGAAACAAAAAATCCGCCGACAGGAGACCGCACGGCTGATACTCCACAGTCCACACGCCACTGGAGAACGAACGGCATATGTATGGCTGGTGCTTTGTGCGGGTTGGCCATCTTCCGCCGTGTGCCTGCGGCACAGCGTCTCTGTGCCTGAGGAGGGAATTAGCCGTTGGATATTCTTCTGAAAATGACATATCATGTACACCTTTTTCCTGGGTGGACGGTGTTCTCGACCCAGCATCACAGCAATGGTAAGCGGCCAATTTGGATGTATAAACAGCTTCACATGACTCAGAGTACAGAGGCACACTATGGAAAGCTCCGAATGGGTGTCCAGTCCTCGTCATTCGCAAAATGAAGCCGTCTTGAGCGACTCAAATACAGCACACAGAGCCGAGGACTGGAGATGGGATATGAACTTCCCTGACACAGAGGCACTTCGTGTCACCACACATGGAATTGTGCACATCTTCTGGTCTAACCAGTCGCAGCATTGCAAGAGTGGGACCGAGATGCCCACGACAGTTCCGCGAAGAGTGGTTACACAGATCGTTGAGCGTAAGCCACAGGAGTAGTTCGACGGCACGATCGGCAGTTTCAGGAGTCTGCCTCGTCACTTATCACTTGAGTGCATGTTCAGTTGTGCATGTTCCCGGCATTTTTCTTCTGCTGCCGTCCCTCCTCGCATCTTTTGAACCTCTGTGGACCCAATGTCCTGCCTTCCATTCCGGCGAGCCTCAGTCCGCAACATGCACCAACAAAATGAGATATACATCAAGGAAGTAGGTAGGCGATCACCTCTTTCGTGGTATTTGGCAGAACTAACAATCAGATTCAGGACTTTTTTTTCTCAACAGTCAGCATAGCGATGCAAAATGAAGCCGTTTAAACCGCGTCGGACGAACTCAGGATATACAGACCTCGAAGTATCGACACAACGAACACCAAGAACCGGATCAGGGATGTGGACAAACAACAGATTCTATCAACACGCCGGAGACCGTAACCAGGGACAGGATACAAACGTAAAGTGGACCCCGGGGGAGCTCAACGACGGTGCCAAGGAAACTTGTAAGAATGGAGCAACGACCTACGACGCGAAAATTCCGACCGGGACCCACACGGATGCTTTTGCTGAGCCCCGGGGACGGCAACCAAGTTTTGATCCTACCTTTCGTGGGATACTCGCAGCATGGTCACCGGAGATCATAAGTTGTGCAGTGGGTGTTCTGATATTCATTGGTATGCCGTCCCCGTCCTCAGCCTTTGAGAATCCCACTAAGCATTGCAGCAATAACCATAATCCTGAGAGTCTTCGACGGCAAGGAACAGCCCAACTTGGCCATCGGGCTCACCATAAACTCCTGCCTCCAATATCTCACATCGTTCGCGAAGCTCGCGTTTCTGGTGCCTGTCATAGAGGGTCTGGGTCAACTGAAATGGTTGTGGTTCAGCTCGCGCCCGAGGGCATTACTAGACTTTCAGTTGTACGATGAAGCGACGAGAGGTGGGCTAGGGATCTTCAAGCTGTCGTTTCGGTTAAGAGGCTTTCTAGCCGAGTAGGTCATTCTGTATCTAAATAACGGACTGGGCTTACTATTGCAGGCCATCCCTTTGTCTTGCTACTGTCCTGTTAGTATCCGGGCTGTTTACATCAGCCATTACCCAGCAGGTGGTTACGTTTGATACGGCCTTGGTTGCGACCTCGGATAGTGTTGCTCTTGCTCCCCGTGCTTCGACGTTTTCTCGTTGGACAGGCAGCGAATTTCTCCTCGGTATTGCTCCATACCTATACGCTACATGAACTCTGGGTCAAACTGACAAAAAATACAGAGCCAAACGACCAGCTAGACATGGAGCAAACCATGCTCACGTCCGCGTATCTCGATCCCAACACAACCATCCCTTATCTCCCTCCAAACTGCTCAACCGCCGACTGCACCTGGAAACCGTACGGCACACTCGGCATATGCGCATCGACCATTGACATAACCAACTCCACGTCCACATCCGTCCAGCGTTTGCTCGCATCCCTCGCGAACACCACCATCGCTAACCTCCCAAACCTCAACCTAGACCTCACCCGCGCCTTCCTCGCTGGCGGATCCATCCTAGCCGCCCCGAGTGGCGCATTCCCGCCCTCAGTCACATCCACAGCCCTCGTCGACGTTCTTTTCATCTACACCCCAACGGCCGTCGACCCGTCCTCCGTCAGCCTACAATCCCTCCGCTTCGTCGAGCTCATCCTGCACGGCTGCACCAAAACATACCAGCACACCATCAAAACCGGCGTGTTATCCACACCCGAACCAGCCACATCAGCACAAATCTCGTCCAAGGACAACGTTACCCTGAACGCGGCATGGAACACCCAAGACTTCAACCTCCTCCCGCAGGTGGAATGTAAGCCCGGCGTCGGCGGGCGGAGTGTATCCCTCGCACCGTCAGAGGGGACATCGCCCACTGAAGAGTTTACTGTGGATCTGTGCACGGCGTATATGGCGAGCAGTCTGATGAATCAGTACCTAGCTTCATTTATTGCGTTGCGCGAGGAGGATAAAGTCGTGAGCTCGGTGGTGGGTATGACTTCCTCTGCGTTGGGAACGGCGTTGTACGGCGGGTTTTTGGGAAAGGTTCCGGGGGTGGAGGAGCAAATTGGGAATTTGAGGGGAATTGGACGGAATTTGGCGGATGGATTGACGAATATGTGAGTTTTTACTTTTTACTTCATGGATTTTGGGTGTTCTTTTTACCTATCTTCTCAACCTGCTGGTCACCAGAGCAAGAACTGATGATAGCTACCTATTCAGGCTCCGCCAGAAAGGATCAACATATACGAATTCCACGGGCCCTGCTTATGGAACAGCATATCGAGCCACTACCGTCGTCAAGGTCCAATGGGCATGGTTGGCGCTGCTCGCATCCCAACTTGCCCTCGCCATCCTGTTCTTGGTCAGCACCATGATTGCGACAAAGAACAGGTCCGTACAGGTCCTCAAGAACTCGTCTGTCGCGGCGCTATGTATACTGGACGAAAAGGTCAAGAACCAGCTGGGAGACGTTAGTGATTTGCCCGGGTTATCGCAACGGGCTGGAACGGTGAATGTCCGACTGAGAGGAGTTGAAAAGTTGGAGCTGTTACAAGAGGAAGCAAACCTGCTGTAAATACAAGATAACCCACAACTACCTATTTAATTGCACAACAGTCAGTTTACTCCTTCTTCCCAGCCAATGCCTGCACAACAGCCAGCAACGCAGCCCGATCCGCCCCCCTAACCCGCTCCACCAACCCCCCATCCCCCAGCACCACCGACCCGCGCGGCGCAAGCCCCTCCACCTTCACGCCCCCGGGCTTGCCCTTCTCGAAAAACACAAACGTAGGCATGGCAGACACGCCATACCGTCCGGCAACGTCGGTGACGTGGTCCACATTGACCTTGGCAAAGGCGAGCTGGCCGTCCTGCGCGTGCGTGTCGGCCAGCTCGGAAAAGACGGGCGCGATGGCGCGGCAGGGCGGACACCAGTCTGCGTAGAAGTCGACTACCACGTGGGTCGTGGAGGACAGGAGAGCATCGAGCTCGGCGGGTTTGGTGATTTTGAAGACTTTGCCGGAGGTTTCGGGGATGGGGGTGCGGTCTGCAAAGACGCCCTGTGATGGCACGAGTTAGCAACTGCTCTTTTGTGGAGATGGTGGGTGGTAACGTACTCGGAGGACGATGAATATGAGAAATGCTATCAGAACGTAGGTTAACGTGTCCATGTTGAATAGTTGTCGGTCGCGACGAGAGTTTAGGGGTGATTCCGGTCAGGTGAGGTTGTTGGCGATGTGGAATGATGTGTCATGATGTGGGTTTGGGGAGATCTGCCTGATACGTGGCACGTGCGCGTGCAGCTGCTGGCAGCTGTCGTCCTCCTTTCGGTCGAGCCACTGAATTGTGACCAATTCCCAACCACAGCGCCAGCAATAAACTTTAAGTGCCAGTTTCAGACATCGAAAAAAGAAAAGAGATATCTTCCTCATCTAAGGATATCAAGACGAGAGATTCAGTTGCATGCCACATTGCCCACTATCAGAATCGAACTGATGACCTCATCATGGCCCAGCAGCCATGACATCCTCCTCAAGCAAGAGGATAATCAAGATCTACTAGTGATGCGCTCTACCACTGAGCCAAGCGGGCTGATGTGTGATGCGAGTCTAAACTTAGGCACATATCCCTGTGATTCCGCTCAGGCGTAACACTAGGTACACGTGAGGAACGTCCACCGAATGGACCCGGAAGGCAGAACCATGTCCATCATTCCTTACCCTATTCTGTCTACCTACCAACTTGTTTCGAGCGCGTACAAGAACACTCTCGGCGATTCAGAGGTCACCAATTAAGGCGTGCCGAACTAATGAATATTCCCGGGGTGGAATAGTGGTTCACATCCTATTGCCCTGTATTTTCTTTGATAGACAGCTCCCGAAGTAGCCCAATTCCAGAGTTACCGAGTACATTGAGCCCAGGTAAACTCAATCCCACCAAGACTCGTCACCGACAACGACGCCGTATCAGACCCGCTCCGCGGCTGCAACCGCACCTCAGCCTTGATATTGATCATCCCCTCCGACCCACAAGGCGACCACACGCTACCAGTAAGATCATTCTCGTCCGTCTTGGAATAATCTCCCTCATAAGGACCCTTGATCGCCATGCTCGACGTCATCTACACGTATACCCATTAGCACCATACCCCCACAAGATAGGTAACATCCACTTCTAGAACAAACCTGATTGGTATCCCCGGAGAAATAATAAGTAGACTTCGCCTCTCCCACAGCCCCAGCCGGGAGGCTAGCATACCCCCGGTAAGTCGTCTTCGCCACGGTGAACTGCCAGCCCTTGGGGTACGTCAACTTGACGTTGAGCTGGCAGTCCTTGCGCGCGTCGTCGGCCGAGTGGCCCTTGCCCGTCGCGGCGGTGAAGTTGGTGTAGTTGAGCACGATCTTGCCGGGGTCGGACCCGAAACCGCCGGAGAGGGAGCCGGCCGGGCAGCCGGAGCCGGCGAAGACAACGCCTGAGATGCGGACGGAGTCATTGGGAGGGGACGCGGGGCGTGCTGCGCGGGGGTGTAATGGGGTGGAGAGGGCGGCTGTGGTACCCGTGAGGAATGGGAGGATCTGTGAGAAATGCATTTTGCTTGGTTGTAGGTGTTGGGCTGGGTTTTGGATGAGGTGGATTTCTTGGTCTGGAACCCGGTGCGGTAAGCTGCTACTGGGAAACTAGCAGGTTTTAAAGTTTTTGTTCATGTCCCAAGCCCCAGCGTCTAGACCTGAGTTGATCTACATCTCCTGAGCAGTAGGGTAGTATCGGAGCAGAAAAAGAGCGATGTTCCGACGACATCCCTAAACGTCCTGGAAATAAAAACCGTTGTAACATGACGTTTGTGGCGAACCACTAACCGGGACCCGTGAATGTGACTGATATTAAGGTTAATAAGAAACGGATACAGCATATCGGCGATCATATGGTCAGTGCAGCCCTACTTATTTTTAGTTTTCTTCTCCTGGTAAACTTTTCAGGGTCTGGACCGTTTTTTTTCGATGTATACAAGGTGGGTTGCAACTATGTAACAACCGAAGGGCAGCCGAGATTCTACGGCACCCTGGGGTGCTGTTCTCGGGCCTTTGGACCGGGTAAAGTGAGTTCAGGTTGTTTATCCACAACATGCAAGCGGTGCAGCTACTTCCGGCCAGTCTTGGCTTGCTCCGATCTAGATGCCAAATCTATCAAACTACAAGTGTTAACATCTAGTGGCATACAGACGGGAAGTCTGTACATAGAGGCCATGACAGGTTTCCAACTAATCGGCGAAACTTCTCGGTAAAAGATGCATGTGAAAAATTGCTCTCTGCCATGGTAAAAGCAACAGCGGCGAGTTATGCCGTATGCAGAAAAAGATATCCTCCCTCCCACAAACCCAGTACCCCTGGTTATATACACATCCTCTTAAATTATTCACACCAAGAGAATAAACTGAGAGCTCGAGCGGCACTTAAGGCCGACTGCACACACTTCGCAGGCAACCAGCAGTGGACATTTTAGACCAACACAATCTCCTGAAGGCCAACCTGGCTTGCCCATATCTCCCCATCCATGAAACCATGTAAATACCCTTCCCCAACAAGCCGATACTTTTCCGTACCGGCGCCCTGCCCGGCCGCCCGACGCAATACATACGGCACCTTTCCCCCCGCAAAAATGGAAACCAAGTCACCCTCCCGGGCATCCTTCGGCGCGAGCGCCAAAAATCCCTTCCGAGTAACGGCAACACGCCGCTGGCCCATGGTGCACCCGACCAGTAACCCTATATGGCTCGTATTCGCGGCATCGGTAACTTTCCTGTCGCCGAGGGCTGCTTGACGCAGGTTATGGCACTGTTCTTTCGACAGCTTGAGGTGGCCGTCACCGACTATAAACGCCAGAGCCAGAATAACTCTCCGCAGCACTTTGTCGGCTGTTTTTTCGTCGAAATCCTGAAAGTTATAAACTCGCATAAGGAGTTCCTCGAGCGCCTTGGAAGACGGCTTGGGTTCTTCATTGGCATGGGGGCTGGTTGTTTTGCTATCTTTTGAAAGTTCAGCGCGGAGCTCTCTGCACGCCCAGTACGGCAGGTTCACTGCCGAAGCCAACTCTTCGAATATGCGCTTGCGGTCTCCGATCAGTTCGACCGGAACGAGGTCGCGGGCGCTTATACCGAACTCTGTGAGACCGAGTATCTGATCCAGGCAGTCCAACGTGTCTTCTGCTGTAGCATCAGGGTGTATCATGTTCTCCTGCATTGACTTCATCATTTCGGCAAGGTTTGGGCTGTAGCGACCGATCACCGCCTCATAATTCCCTCCCTCGAGCAGCGCGGTTCCGCACCGCTCCTGCGTATCCATGAAACCCCGGAGGCGATCACCGTAGTCGTCCTCAGCCGGGTATGAGGTCGTTGATTTGTTCCCGAGGTAGGTGCGCCAAAATGCATCCCATCTCGTCTGGCCGTTGAAATATGTGGGCGGCAGGCGTGACTCGACGAGTTCCTGGGCTTCCCGGAAGCGGCCAACATCTTGGAGGACCATCGTCACAGACGCCTTTTCGTCTTCAGAGTGCACTTCTCCAAAGCCCCGCCATAAAGATCTATCCGGCGGGGGAAGCTGAGTGAGGGCCACAATCTCGTCGACGACAAAGCCACGGATGGTGACTTCATTGCTTCCCTCAGGGGCGAAAACAATGGGCCAGCATATGCCGCTAGCTCGGTATGGCGCGTATGTATGGAGAGCCGTCGCCAGCTGAGGCTCGAGTCCAGACACTGCCTGAAAATCTGGGACCCAGCTCGGCCAGTCCGGTACCGATGCTCTGGTGTGTGACATGCCCGCCATCGAGAGGATCATGAACCTTGACCGATGAAGTGAATACAACACGGCCTCCCGGAAGATATCGAGAGCCGGCTTGCCGTAGTCGGGCGTGAGAGCCCCGTCCTCAACAGCACTGCTGATTCCCTGGAATGCGAAGATATGGTCCTTGTCAAGAGTCGACTGAGAAACGGCAAAATTGATCAAGACGGGGGCCAGAGCCCATCTCACGCCGGTCTGGTAGTCGGCGCGCATGCTCTCGATCGAGTGGATCCGATGCACAGCGAGGAACGGCGGCGTAGCCATGCCCTCCGCCAAGTCCAGCTTCTGCAACAAGCCGGACGAAGAATCCGTATAAAGCTCCTTGACAATAGGCGCAAAGAGGTCCCAGTCGAACCATAAGCCGCCGTACCTGATGTGCACTTTCCGGGAGGCAACGATCTCCTGAACGATCCAGACGCGCGACCAGTACGGATTTTCTAGCATGCGCTTGAGGGCGGCCCACTTCGGGTTCGCGTCGTTGATCCGTTTCAGACCCATCGTGGCCAGCTCGAGGTTGTCCTTGGACAGGTTGATCTGAACCAGCATCTCGTTGAGGAAATTGAACGCAAGCACGACGTCGGGCGCCTCGCCGAGCCAGACGATGGTGCGGTCCGCCTTGTTGTAGATATCCCGCATCAGGCCCACCTGCTGGTTCTTGTCGTTCTGGTCCTCCTGGTCGATGCAGATGGCGTCGATCCACATCAGTCGGGTGCGCCAGAGTGATGCGCGGTTCCAGATAATCTCGTGGGCGCTCGCGGGGATCGGGAGGATTTTGCCTCCAAAATCGAGCACCTTTGTTTTCTCGGACGAGGCCCCCCATCTGTATGAGATGGCGTCGAACGGGGCGGCGTCCTTTGCATCGAGGTGGTGTTCGACAAGGGAGCATCGCAGTCTGAACAAACGAGGCTCGATCTTGAGCAGACGAACGGTGTTTGGGGCCGTGATGGGCTGGTATTCGTACCGCGGCTTGTGCTCCTCGGGATAGGGACCCATGATGCTGACCTTGCAGGCGGTGGGCAGCATCTTACGAAGAAATGCTAGCCCAACGAAGCGCCAATCGTACCGAAAATATATCGCCGAGGAAGCGAGCACCCAGGAGGTCGGATCGAGCTTCCAGCATCCTACGAGAACCATCGGGATGGTCTCGGCCCAGACCCACTTCAGCGCGAACACGGCTGCACCGAGAAGATAGCGGCGGCCCGTCTGGGTCGGCAGGATTCCGATCGCGACGGGCGCTAGGTATGCGGCGATGGCCCATGCCTGGTCGTGCAACGCCGTGACCATGGACCAGCCCATCTTTCTGACGGTCGGTCCATCGCGGATGATCTCGGTCCAAACTGCCCGGAGACCGGCCCAGATGTAGGGCTGTGTCCGGATACAAGCCCCATGAAAACACACATAGGAAATTGCGCGAACCGGTCCCGAAAGGGGTTTCCAATGATCAACTAGATGGAAAATTGCGTAGGAGCCAATGACCTGAGTCCCGGAAATCGCCCCGGCTTTCCACCACGAGAGCGCGGGGAACGCGCTGTTTTCAGCCGACGCGGCCATCGCGGCGCCGCGCGACTGCCAACCACGCCCACACCGAGAATGAGTGGCCAAAGTACTCTCAGGTGTTCCCGCGCTTGAAGTGACTGAACATGATGGGAAGTAATCTGTGACCGAAATCGGAGGTCGGATTGAGCTGAAGTTTGGAAAGAGCCCAGCTTTTCTCGGGCTCGATCAAGCTGTCCGACTCCGACACCAGCCAAATTGGGA